GTCACAAAGGCAAGAGGGCAGCTGCAACGCACACACAACTTTTTAAACGTGTTTTGGTTGTGCAACACATGTTTTTTTTTAAAAAAGTGCCAGCCTTCCACTGTAGGTTCACAACCAGCACTGTTGCTTTTTGACGCGCAAATTTCTCCAGAGAGAAACGCCGTCGCGGTTGTCTAAACTTTGATTTCGTGTTTTATCTCCTGTTTTTTCCCCTTTCTGTATAAATGTAAAGGTTAGCAAAGTATTTAAGGGAAGTTCTTTTCCTGAGTTAATTGGAAAATGTTACGCTCGGTTATGTAAGTCATGAAGGAGAAAAGACATTTTTTTTAATAAAAAAAAATTCAATTACAGGAAGTCCTCGACTTATGACCACAACTGAGCCCAAAATTTATGTTGTTTAAGTGAGTCAGTTGTTAAGTAAACCTGGTTGTTAAGTGAATCTGGCTTCCCCCATTGACTTTGCTTGTCAGAAGATCGCGAAAGGGGATTACGTGACCTCAGAACACTGCGACCGTCATAAGTATGAGTAGGTTGCCAAGTATCTGAATTTTGATCACATGACCATGGGGATGCTGCAATGGTCGTAAGTGTGAAAAACGGTCATAACTCACTTTTTCGGTGATGTTGTAAATTCGAATGGTCCTTAAATGAACTGTTGTAAGTTGAAAACTGCCTCTCTTCTCTAAAAAAAGAGTTATGCTGTACTATTGGAAGAAGAGAAGATCGAGGAAATATATCATTAATTAATATATTGATTACGAAATTATGGGAATTAATCACTATTGGTTGTTTTTAAATATATGAACCCAGACAACACGCTGTTTACTAAGCACTAAAGATTGTTATTGTAAAAAAAAAATCAATAAAATATATTTTTTAAAAAAGAGCTATGCTTACAAACATAAATTATCTTTAATTGTGAGGTAATAATTAATAATGTACTTAGTAGGACTTAGTGATGGGAATCATAAGAAGGAAACTTTTGCTATTAAACGTCCCGGTTGCTCAGAAAGGAGGGGAAAAACATGGAGGTCCCACTGGTTTTTGTTGGTTAAACTGGAAATGTTTGGGGAAGAAGAGAAAAAGAACAAAGGCAAAAAGACCTGGGAGTTGTGAACAGTGTAGTAAATGTGAGAAGGCCCTTGTTGGAATGTTGTGGTGCAACCCAACCCATCTTGAGTGGAATATTATTGTATAGGCTGGGGCTTTCATTGTGACATACCATCCGCCCTCTTGCCAAGATGGAGACACACTCCCTCTGGATGTTTCTTAAAAAGCATCTATCATAACCCAATGGCGCAACCATTGTGAAGTCACTAAATTACAACTGGTGTCTCAGCCCTGATGCACACACATCCGTCATGTCACTGGCTTCATGTTGCATGTCACCCTTTCTCCTTCCTTGCCCCCTCGCTAACACCCCTCCGTTAATCTGGAGATGGACCAAACTACCCTTCAAACAGGGAAGCGATGTTGAGTAGAAGACAATATTCTAAAAACAGGAGACATAACTAGCTCACTGGAGATGTGAACATATTTTCTGGGATTTAATACATGCATTGGCTTCTACTGAGGTATCCAGTCATAATAAAGGCTGTTGTCTGTGGTAAATAATGATTGGACCTCATAGGAGATGTTGTCAATGGAGTATATCGTCTTGGACAAAACCTAAATCTTAAATCAGAATGTTGTCAATGGAGTATATCGTCTTGGACAAAACCTAAATCTTAAATCAGAGTTTCTGGAGCTTGTCATACTTACTATGGAAAGATTTACTAGTTGCCAGGAGAATGATCTCAGCCAGGGGTGTCCAAGTTTGGCAACTTTAGGACCTGTGGACTTCAGCTCCCAGAATTCCCCAGCCTGCATAGTTGGCTAGAGAATTGTGGGAGTTGAAGTCCAGAAGTCTTAAAGGTGCCAAGCTTAAACACCCCTGGTCTAAGCCGTTTTGAGAAATACAATCTCTAAAGAGGAAACATAGCCAACTCTTCATCTGTAAGTCATCTTCTCAGCTATGAGGATAATTGCATCCAAACTCATGGAACAGAATCCAAGTCCATAAACTACGATCCTTGTATAGTTCATAAAGAATAAGATACTTGTAATCCATAAGTATGTCATGGCTACCCTTGATATCTTAGGTGGTTATCTTAGGGGTGATCGCTGGAGTTGAAAATGGGATGTATTTGCACTCACTCCTTATTCTTTTGGCCACTGTAGGAATAGAACAGGTAGTTTTGCTCTCCCTGTATGTTTGGGTTAGTTAATTCCTAATTTTATACATTCTCGTTCCATTTTTGTATATTTATTTGATGCAAAGGGGCTTTCAGTTCTAGCTATTAATGGAGAATAGGTATCATCTCTTTGTGAACATTTATAATTAAAGTAAGCAGAAGTGGTTGGAAAATACGAAAGAGATGCAAATAGGTTTGTATATCCCTCTGATAAATTTATAAAAAAAAATGAATCTGGGAGATCTTACCCAGAAATGTTATTTTGATTTAATTTGACCTCTGCTTTTATTTGTCTCCATATTTTATTGGGGCAGGTCTGAGCTGTCCTTAACTCAATGCTTCCTTACAGCAAAAGTGTCTCAAATGGAAGATTTCAAATGGTGCCTGCACACACACACTGGATAACATAAGAAAAATCCCATTGTAATAATTGCATTGAAATGAACCGGAGTTGGGTGACTTAGCTTTTGACAGGCAGAACTTCCTTTGGAGCAGGGGTCCTCAACCTTGGCAACTTTAAGACTTGTGGACTTCCAAAGCTGGCTGAGGAATTCTGGGAGTTGAAATCCACAAGTCTTAAAGTTGCCACGGTTGAGAACCCCTGCTTTAGAGGAATGCGGAGATAATGTGGGCCAAAGAGTGCAAGGAGTTTTGCTTGAACTATTAAGAGATAATAAAAGAGAACATAAACAACGGCTCAGCCTTAGGGAGAGGAAGGCATGTGAGAAAAAGACTCAAGAGAACTCTGCCTTGATTCTCTTTGGTATGAAACAGGAGTGAAGGGAAATCTTGGTAGATTTTCAAGATTCTGTTATTATACCACACGGTGGACCTTTACTAGGACTTGCTGTGTCTGTTTGCTTATTTATTTTATGTAGAGTATGGCATCTACAGAGGTCATGCTATCACTGAAATACAAATTTAGTTAAATAAAGTGTCAGCAAATATAAGATAAAATGACATGAGATGAGATAAAGACATGGTAAGATAAGCCTTTATTGTCACTTTTTTTCTATGAACACACTGGCACAAATTAAAAAATGAAAATAAGATACAAGATTATATATATATATATATATATATATATATATATGTGTGTGTGTGTGTGTGTGTGTGTGTGTGTGTGTGTGTGTAGGTCTTTGGTTATTCGGGTTTTCTCTGAGTAAAATTGGAAGTGTCTTGGCGACGTTTCAACGAAGTCCCATTCGTCATCTTCAGGCTGGTGTTTTCGGCTTCGTGCTTCTAGATTGCTCCTAGAAGCACGAAGCCGAAAACACCAGCCTGAAGATGATGAATGGGACTTCGTCGAAACGTCACCAAGACACTTCCAATTTGACACGGGAGAAAACCCAAATAACCAAAGACCTACATACAAACACCCGCGAAAACCTCAGAAAATATATATATGATATGTGGACAATACAATATAGGGGATAAAATATTAAATTAAGATAAAACCATAATAAAATCACCATAATATGGTGCCATAGAGTTGCAACGGGACGGATGCTATAATTCGATATCTGTCTGTTTGCTGAGCAGACCTTATCTTGAAGGGCTAATTCTTCCAGTCAGATTTTTCTGTGTGTGTGGACTATATCTATCCTTTCCCTTGATCTCCACCTAAAAGGTAAAAATGCCATTGAATTGACCTAAACTCCTGGTAAATATTTGGACCTGCCCATAATATTTTCTTGGCAAATAAAATGGAAGTGGTTCACCATCATTTTGTTCCTGGATATTTTTTGAATTTTCAGTCTACACTATAGACCTGGTGATCACCCATCCCACGATAACCAGGCTTGACCCTGATTAATTTTTGAGATCAGCCAGCTTCACCTAGATATTAGCAACTTCTAAGACGGATTCTTTACTATAGTATAACAGAATAACAGAGCTGGAAGGGACCTTGGAGATCTTCTAGCCCAACCCCCTGCTCAAGCAGGAGACCCTATGCCATTCTGAACAAATGGCTGTCCCATCTCTTCTGAAAAAACTCCAGTGTTGGAGCACCCACAACTTCTGGAGGAAAACTATTCCATTAGTTAATTGTTCTCACTGTCAGGAAATTTCTCCTTAGTTCTAGGTTGCTTCTCTCCTTGATTAGTTTCCATCCATTGCTTCTTGTCCAGCCTTCCAGTATTTTGAAGAATAGGTTGACCCCCTCTTGTTTGTTGCTATCATGTCAACCCTAGTTCTTCTTTTCACTAGGCTAGACATACCCACTTTCTGCAATTGATATTATGGTGTTAGTATTATGGTGCAATCAGTATTTTTGAACTACTAATTAATGTGAACAAAAATTGGCCACATTTTTTCTTCGCCGGCCATTCCATTTTCTTTTTTAATAATTCTGTAAAAAGCAGAAATCCAACAGAAATCCTTGACTTTCTATCGTAGTGCCTGAACATACTTCTTCTAAATTTTTACATGTCATGTACTGGAGCTATTGTTAGAAATCCATGAGGAAAAAAAGATGGTGCACCACAGGAAACCTCCAGGATGATAAACTACAGTCAACGCAGTTCCAAAAATAGCACAGAAAATATTTAAAAGAATCAGGAGAAAATCTGTACTTCTTTCGTAGTACAATTTTGTTCAACAAATGTTTTGTATGCCAGAAAATTCTTGGTGGGAATCCAAGCTAGATAAATTAATGAAATATGTCCACTGGTTTCATGTTACTATACAGTACTTTGGAGACTTTATTGTAGGATATGAAATAAATAGATGTAGTCATTTTCCCATTCCTCTTTTCCCAAAAAGGAGCTGATTGAGGTTGACAGTGAAGTTGTGTTTGAGTTGGCTGCGTACATCCTACAGGTAAGTCGTGTGGCTTTTGTGGTATGCATTTCAAGGTTTTTCCAAATAGGAAATTGTGGTTGCTATTGTTTCATTGAAACAAAGAAAGACAGTGTTTCTTAACTTTAGCATCTCTAAGATGGGTAAATTTCAACTCCCAGAATTGAATTCGGAATTCTGGGAGTTGCAGTTCACCCATCTTAAAGTTTCAACAGATTGAGATTCAATAGATGTCTGACTATCCTAATTTTAGTAGTATTCCCATGTGCATTAGGTCTTATCTTTTTAAACAGAGGAAATAAACATGAACTGAGAATTTTCCAGCATCTTCTATCCCTTTTATAGCCAATAGATCAATGAGTAGATAGCATAATCAATTCTATTTCATTTTATGCTGTTGTTGTGATCTCCATTATAAAATCAAATGCAGGGAGATATTCATTCATTCCTTCCACTGACTCTCATAAACATATATTTTGTTCTAGCAAGTTAATAATCAACCCCATAATATAATTAGCAAGAAGGAAGATGCTTAGCCCCAAGGGGACCATAAATTAACTGGTTTTTTCCCCTCCCATTATACTGCTGGTTAATTGATTGCCAATTAACTGGAATTAACAAACACAATTGTAAATTCTACTCCAGACATCCACAAACATGTCCTCTGAGCGTAGCAATCAATTAATTCAAAATACAGCAACAGTACTTAAGTCTTCTCCAAAGCATAACTGCTGAAGCAGTGAAGACAATGAAGGAAAGACTTACTCCCCTGCATTAAAATTTGATATTTTATTTCCTGGCCATTCCTAACCAGGCAATGTTGGTACCAAAGTTATTGCAAGAGAGAGTGAAATTAAACATGTTTTTATTCAACTGGTTATAATTTCAACCAGGTCTTTGGTGCTCTCTGACCGTGGTAGTTTTCTTGCAGACATTTCATTACCAAACTAGGTAATATCATCAGTGCTCAGAGAGCACCAAGCACCCCACAGCTCAACCCTGAGCTACAGATATTCTCTTCAATGGATTATAATTTCATTTAGTTAATAAATATATGAATTAATATAACTCATGAAATTGTACTTAATACAATTCAGGATGGAAATAATTATCCATGAGTGAATGGGATTGCCTTGGGTGAAACAGACTTGAACAGCTGGTTACTCCACCCATCCAGCCTTGATTTGAGGCCAGGCAGGTCCTGGAAAGTCCTCTTTTCCAGCATTCTAATCTTGCAGGCCTGAGATCTAATAGATCTACTTCAAAACAGATGTTTTCAAAGTGGAAAACGAGGGATCCTTGATGCTCTCACAGTGCAGCACTGTGATAACACTAGTGATGTTCCCTAGTTTAGGTCATGAAACGTCTGCAAGAAAACCTCAGAGAGAAAATAAATACTACCAAGCCAGGAGGGATATATACTTTAAGTACTATGTTATTTCCTCTGTTCTGTTATTACTGCTTTCTTCTATTCTCTTTTATTTTTTATTTTATTTTATTTTATTTATTTTATTTTTCTTCATTCTTTCTCTTTTCCCCTCTTTTTTTTAACCAATATATTTAAAACTTAAGAAACATAAAAATGTGAGATGGCTTATATGGAAAAAATAGAATCAAGTTTGTTAATGTAAATGTAACTAATTGTCACCAGTAAAAATTACTTAGAATTCAGTGGGAGAAATAAACTAAAATAAGGACTGTAACAGGATTGGTGATAAGGCAATTCAAATGAATGGAAAGAAAAGAATGCATTAATACGATGATTATTTTTTAGGAATACTGGGAAAAATATATACCAAATTGTCGCTTATTAAAACAGTAAGAATTATATTAACGTAATGTTTGCAAAACATTCAGGGAAAGAGGAAAGTAAACAAAGTTAATATATGAAATACAGACTATAGAAATTAATTGTTAAGGATTGTTTTTACAAATGTAACCCAGACATCACACTGTTTAGCAACTATTGTGACTTATGTTTGTGCAAAAAAATTAATAAAAAATATAGAAAGAAAAAAGAAAAAAGAAAACCTCAGAGAGCACCAAGGGCCCCACAGTCGTCGTCGTCGTCGTCGTCGTCATCCTCCTCCTCCTCCTCCTCCTCCTCCTCCTCCTCCTCCTCCTCCTCTTCCCTGCAAACTCCACTCCCTTCTAACACTGATGATGTTCCCTAGTTGGGTCATGAAATGTCTGCAATAAAATCACCAAGCTCAGAGAGCACCAAGGACCCCTCATGTCAACGCTGAGCCCCAAATATTCTCCTATGAAGTACAAAATCAAGCTATCATTGATCAGACATCAGTCACTTTGATTTTGTAATATTCTGGACGGATCCGCCCAAGTATTCTTAAAGGTTAGCAGAAGTTCTCATTAAGATGGTTTGAGCCTAAGAATCAGGGGTAGGCAACCTTGGCTCTTTTATGACTCGTGGACTTCAACTCCCAGAATTCCTGAGCCAGCCACGCTGAGGGGAAAGGGAGAGGTTTCCAAGCTGAGCCATGCTGGCTCAGGAATCCTGGGAGCTGAAGTCCACGAGTCATAACAGAGCCAAGGTTGCCTACCCCTGCCCTAGGTGAAAGACTCCATTTTGTAGTTAATGTGCTTTACTGAACTGTAATTAATGTGTTTTACTGCATCACAGTTTCTAAGTGTGCAGTCCTTTGCAAGATGTATTCTTCTTTCTGAAAAGAAAGCCACTGATAGACTTTACACAGACTATTTTCCAATACCTTAAACACAATCTCACCCTTTCCAGGATCAAATGGCTGTGTGTGACAGCTGCAGTGTTATCAAAACCTCTCTGCACTTTTTAATCAATTCTCCTTATTAATGAGAAGGCTAATAAATATATTTTCAATACAGTGTCTAATTAATTAATTAAATTGGCAGGATCCTATGATGTTGTTACATGATATGGTAGAAATCTCATTCCCTTCCTTGAGATATGGTCCTTTTATCTTTAAAAAAAATAGAATAAAAAAATAGAAATCCACATGTAAAGAAAGGATCTGCAAATGGTTAGGTATGGAGTGGTATTTCAGCCCTCTGCAGTCTGTAAGATTTAAGTTAATTATTCCTGTTGATTGCAGTGAGGCTTCTCTAAGTATGATTAAATCTGGAACTCTTGAGGTGATGTCATATCTTGACCTTAGAATCCTTTTATAATAAAGTTATAAAACATTTGATGATACTTGAAGATGGAAATGTGCATTTTCTCCCTAATGCACATAGGTTATTATAAGTAACTATCCTCTCTCTTTTTTTTGTTTCTTTATAATTTTACAGGAAGCAAAAGGGGATTTTTCAAGGTGAGTTTTGCATGCATATTTTTCACGTACCGTACATACTTTTTATATAAGATAGGATTGCTGTTCAGTTAGAAAATGTGTCATTCATACAGACAAACATGCACACTTGTGGGGGAAAGACTCAAAATCTGTAAATATGGGAAATGTCATGGGTTGGATCTGGGTCATCTTCAGAATTGGATTCTCCAAATAAAATCTGTCTGTCTTTATGTTTTGGGCTGGGAAGGGATGATTGGATCCCCAACTCCTCAGAAAAGAGGATAGAAGAAATCTAAAGTCATAGAATCCTTGGGCTAGAAGGGATCTTGGGGGGTCTTCTAATCCAACTCCCTGCTTTTTCAAAAGGCAACTGGAACTTTGTTTTTTTTTTTGAAGACATTTCACTTCTCAACTGATTAGGGGACGAGGCTAAAACATATGAGGAACGGTTGCTGGAATTGGGTATGTCTCGTTTAATGAAGAGAAGGACAAGGGGGGACAGGATAGCTGTGTTCCAATATCTCAGGGGCTGCCACAAAGAAGAGGGAGTCAAGCTATTCTCCAAAGCACCTGAGGGCAGGACAAGAAGCAACGGATGGAAACTAATCAAGGATATAGAATAGAATAGAATAGAATAGAATAGAATAGAATAGAATAGAATAGAATAGAATAGAATAGAATAGAATAGAATAGAATAGAAAGAGTACAGAGAAGAGCAACAAAGATGATTAGGGGACTGGAAGCTAAAGCATATAAGGAACGGTTGCTGGAATTGGGTATGTCTCGTTTAATGAAGAGAAGGACGAGGGGGGACAGGATAGCAGTCTTCCAATATCTCAGGGGCTGCCACAAAGAACAGGGAGTCAAGCTGTTTTCCAGGGCGCCTGAAAGCAGGACAAGGAGCAACGGATGGAAACTAATCAAGGAGAGAAGCAACCTAGAACTAAGGAGAGACTTCCTCACAGTTGGAACAATTAACCAGTGGAACAACCTGCCTCCAGAAATGATGAATGCTCCAACACTGGAAGTTTATAAGAAGAGACTGGACAGCTATTTATCTGAAATGGTATAGGGTTTCCTGCCTGAGCAGAGGGTTGGACTAGATGACCTTCAAGATCCCTTCCAACTTTATTATTATTATTAAAAAGAAGAAAGTCCAGTTGCCTCTTGAAAAAGCACCTTTGGGACAACCAGGATCTGGATGACTGAGGATCTCCACAGCCATCAGTCCAGACTTTGTTCTCCAGCGATGGCAGAGCCATCACTGGAGAACAGCCTGCATTCTATCTTCGGACAGCAGTGAAACTATTAGAATTTAGGAAAGTGGCAAAGATATATGAGCCAAGGTGGTGCAGCAGTTAGGGTGCAGTTAGGGTGCAGTACTGCAGGCCACTTTAGCTGACTGTGTTCAGCAGGTCAGCGGTTCAAATCTCACTGGCTCAAGGTTGACTCAGCCTTCCATCCTTCCAGGGTAGGTAAAATGAGGACCCAGATTGTTGGGGGCAATGTAAATATATATATATATATATACATTGCTTACTGGTGTACACCGCTTAGAGAGTGCTTGCACTTAAAGCGGTATATAAGTCTCATAAAATAAATAAATAAATAAATATATGAGGACTATTCTGTAAGCCTATTGCTATTCTTTTTTTAAATATCCTTCTTAAATTTATTGGTATTCTTAGAGTAATACTTAATTCATATCAGGGTTGATTATGTGGTGCTTTGCATTGATTGCAGATGTTTTTTTTTTATGAACTAAGGGAGTTATCCAAATTCTTGGGAGTGGAGGCTGGATATAAATAATGCAATAAATAAATAAAACGGCATTACAGTCTGCTCCCGTAGACCAGAAAGATATTTCAAAACAAATGGCTCCTCTCACTAGGCGTGGCAGTTCAGACTGCTGTTTCAAAATCACGGCCAACCCTATTTTAGGCTTAAAGTTATTTTTGGCATTTGGCTGTAAAAAATTAATTACGAGAAAAGAACAAGCGTGCGGATGAAATGAGTGTGCTATTCATTCACCCCTGGCTCCATTCATCCCTGGAAAAAGCTGGCACTTGCTCAGTTAAATAATAAGGACTTTGTAACCCCTTGGTTAGTATCAGGCACCAAAGATTAGGTCCACATGTGAAGTTCCAATTAAACTGATTTATTACAACTCATGCCTATGCACAGAAATCTTCTCAGCTAATGCTTAGGACCTGCTAGGAGTTGGATAAGGGTCAGCAGAATTCAAAGAACATTGGATTTAATCCACTTGTGGCCACATAGAGATTCTAGGCTGATTCCACTTTTGACTCCACCTCCAGGTTGTCCCACTGTTTCCCCTATAATTAGTTAAGAGAATTAAAGTTGCCTTCAAATCAACTTCAGCTCCTGAAGACCTCTTGGAGATCTTCATGCAGTTTTCTTGGTGTACGGAAGTGATCAGCCATGGCCTTCTCCAAAGTTATTTATTGATATCCCAATTAAGCATACTGCCCTGGGATCCTCAGGTAGTCTCCCATCCAACTACTGACAGGGGCTTCCCCTGCTTAGCTTTTGAGATCCGCCCAAGTCAACAAGCTACAAGCAAAGGCTACAAAAACTGGTTGCCTGGCAACAATGCCAGAGATGATGTTCTGGGATGGAGACATCACAGATGTAGCAACAAGATGGTGTATGCACCTGGTTTTTTTTTTTAGACATTTGTGCAAATTGGGGGCCGGAGAGTAGATGGGTCAGTTGCCACAGCTTCTGATGTTATGCTTTGGAATGAATTTCATTGGGAAAAAATAAAGGTGCGAAACAAAATACAGGTAATCCTTGACTTAACGACCACATTGAGCCCCAAAATTTTTTGTTGTTAAGTGAGACGTTTGCTAAGTGAGAGTTGCCCCATTTTACGACCTTCCTCACCACAGCTGTTAAGTGAAGTCAATAAGCACCGTTTGCTAAGCAAATCTGGCTTCCCCAGCGACTGCTTATCCGAAGCAGTCATAAAAGGGGATCACATGAGCCAGGGACACTGCTGCCATCATAAATACGAGAGTTGCCAAGCGTCTGAATTTTGATCACATGATCACGGGGATGCTGCAGTGATTGTGAGTGTGAAAAAACCAGTCACAAGCCACTTTTTTCCAGTGCTGTTGTAACTCTGAATGGTCAGTAAACAAACTGTCGTACGTTGAGGATGAGCTGTGTAATAAGACATGCTTCAATGTAGGAAGTGCAGAGTTTCCTGACGCATCACTTTTAAAGTCTTACACAATTTGTGTAACCCTAACCTGTCTTGGACAAGCCTGTTCTTGCTTCCGTTTCCCAACACAAACCCTCAAGGCTTTTGCTTAGTCATTAATAACAGCGTTTGATTGAAAACCCAGAAGAAATAACTCACTGTCACCTGCAAATTTGATTTATGGCAGCTGCGGGATTATTGCTGATCCGTCTCTGTTTTCGAGAAGGCTAATAGTCTTGTGCAAGAGAATTAATTTCTAGCTTGGCTGAACATAACATGAACCTGCAGGGGAACCTACTTAAGAGGGAAAAAAAAAGATACCTGTAATACAGGTAGTCCTCAAGTTATGACCACAATTGAGCCCCAAATGTATGTTGCTGTGCAAGACGTTTGTTAAATGAGTTTTGCCTCATTTTACGACTTTTCTCACCACGGTTGTTAAGGGACTCACTGCAGGTGTTAAATTAGCAACACGGTTGTTAAGTAGATCTGACTTCCCCGTTGAGTTTGCTTGTGCAGAAGATCGCAAAAGGGGATCACGTAACCCCGGGACGCTGCGACCGTCATCAATACGAATCACTTGCCAAGCGTCTGAATTTTGATCACCTGACCACAGGGATGCTGCAACGGTTGTAAGTGCGAAAAACGGTCATAAGTCAGTGCCGTGTTTTTCAGTGCCATTGTAATTTTGAACAGTTACCAAATGAACTGTAATTCCATGGAACTTGAAGACAATCCCTTTCCCAATCCACAAAGGGCTCCTTCCATCCCAAACCTCCCACCTCCTGGACGTTGGGTCTTCCAAGTGGAAAGATGGCTTAGACGGTTCTGTAGTGTCCTTCATAAAGGAACAGCGGAGATTTCTTTCTTCCTTTGTGCAGCCACCAGACAAATGCACGCAACCTGGAGTGAAGACAATGCAAATGAGAAATGCAATTATTTCCTGGAGTGGGCATGAAGGATGTTTGTTACTGTGATTCCTGCAGCAGTTGGGGTGGGGGGGGGGGAAATCAGCGATTTGTCAACTTTGTCGTTGGCACTGTGAAGCTGGCCGAGGTTTTTGGTGGTTTTTAAACTGCTAGTGACAGATCTTATTTTCCTGGGCTCCAAGATCACCACAGATGGAGACTGCAGCCAAGAAATTAAAAGACGCTTGCTCCTGGGGAGGAAAGCTATGGCAAATCTAGACAGCATACTAGAAAGCAGAGACATCACCCTGCCAACAAAAGTGCGTATAGTCCAGACCATGGTTTTCCCAGTTGCAATGTATGGCTGTGAAAGCTGGACCATAAGAAATGCTGAGCGCCAAAGAATGGAGGCCTTTGAACTATGGTGCTGGAGAAGACTCCTGCGAGTCCCCTGGACTGCAAGGCGATCCAACTGGTCAGTCCTAGAGGAGATCAATCCTGACTGCTCTTTAGAAGGCCAGATCCTGAAGTTGAAACTCAAGAATTTTGGCCACCTAATGAGAAGGAAGGACTCACTGGAGAAGAGCCTAATGCTGGGAAAGATGGAGGGCAAGAGAAGAAGGGGACGACAGAGAATGAGGTGGCTGGATGGAGTCACTGAAGCAGTAGGCGTGAGTTTAAATGGACTCCAGAAGATGGTAGAGGACAGGAAGGCCTGGAGAAACATTGTCCATGGGGTTATGACTTTGCAACTAACAACAACAACAAACTGCTATGATGAGATTAGGGTGTGGAACTGCTGACACTGTAGAAGTAGCTTTCGATGCACCCGCTAGTTATTCTCATTATTTGCCTCCTGTACGAATCTCATATATTTTTTTTTAGAA